TAGTTCCTAAAATTAGATTCAATCTCTTTGGGTTCATATGTCATCTGGTTTGTGTCTACATCTCGTATTTTGTGAATTGTTCTATCAGCCTGTTGCTTTTTTAATCTTTTTGCTAGTAATCTGGTAGCCCTTGGTCCCACTTCATAATATGATTGTTTTAAAAATCGAATCTTCTTTTCAGTTTCTATACTTAACATTTTATCAATATTATCCCTAGCTTCTTTAATTTGAGGTAATAATGAGGAATCGCGTGTGCTCTTATGTAGCTGTTCAATTTCAGATAGTTTCTCCTTTTCTCTCTTAAATGCTTCTTCTCTAGCTTTTTTAATAGACACTGTCTTAGCTATAATTTTCCCTCTCAGGACTGCTTTAAGGGCATCCCACAGAATGACAGGGCTAACCTCTCCATTGTCATTTACAGCTAGATATAGTTTAATCTCCTCTTTAATCTCTTCAGCTATTTTTTTATGATTCAGAATTCCAACATTTAGTCTCCATAATTTACTTTTCTCTTGTGTTTTCAACTGGAGTTTTAGGTAAACTGCACAGTGATCTGATATGTCTGCACCTTCAATTTCACACTCCTGTACTCGGTACAACTCATTTTTATTCATAAATAGATAGTCAATTCTGGAGTAGCTATCATTAGGGGCCGAGTAATGCGTGTAATCCTTTTTAAGGGGGTGAAATTCCCTCCAAAGGTCCACTATACCAAATTCTTTAAATGTAGTTTTGATTATTTTAGTAATGTGGTTGCATTTTTTGTTTTTGTTTGTTGTATCTAGTTTATCATTCAACACAATATTAAAATCGCCCCCACATATCAAAATGCCATCTGTTTCCAGAATAATGTTGTCGAGCAGAATTTTGATGAAATGTTTTCCACTGTTGGGAGGGGCATAAACATTAACCAGTGTCACTTTTTCATTTTCTAACTTTCCTTTTACAATAATAAATCTTCCTTCCTTATCGTTAATCACTTTAGAACATTCAAATTTAACTGAATCTGAAATTAGTATAGTCACCCCTCTTCTACACCCATGACGGAAATAACTATAAAATGTATTGTTATAACCAAACCTCTTAAGTTTCTCGCATTCCTGCCCAGACAAATGTGTTTCTTGTAGATATATAATTTGAGATTTGTGCTGTTTTAACCTGGTCATTACCTTCCGTCTTTTAATGGGATTATTAAGACCATTAACATTCCACGACAGTATCTTTATGTTATTCATTCACGTAATATCATTCCCATGGATGAAAAGTTGTAATCCAGAGTTCAACATAACAAAAGTAAAAAAAACATTGAACATCAATTGAACATAGAACTTTGTGCCTTCCGAAAACAAGGATGGATTTCCCCATCCTTCATGGTCCCTGTTGGTGGGAGGAGGGAAAGGTGCCTCATTTTCGTAGGGGCCCTCCCTAGTAATGAGGAAATACTCATTTTCACTAGAAATGTCCAACATTAAGCGTTTAAGAAAGCTCCTCAGTCAGTTTCATGAACTATTTGGATTAAGTCACAAGACTTTTTTTAATTTTATTATTATTATTAGCCTATTCTTATTTATTAATTTTTTATTGCGGACTGTTAAAATGGAAATAGAGTCGAAAATAAACAGAAGGGAGTATCCATAGGTAGGCCCATGCTAGCCTGCCTGAGAAACCTGTCGTGAATCAAAAAAAAAATTAAATGCGTAGGCTATTTTGCTACTAATACTTGTAAAGTTAGCCTCATTTATTCTTCCTCTGGGCCATAGTTATCTCATTAACTATGTAGTGGCAGGTCTCTTCTAAACTCTGTAAGCCTCTCTCTTGCACGTTGAGCTGCTCTGTCCGAAGTGTTGATGCGTTTCCATGGCAACAGTTCATTCAGACGTTCCTCAACAGCTCTTGCAGCGTTCCTCTTCGATGCGGTAATCTTTATCTGAAATCCACGTTTAATCAAATCCTGAGCTGCTTCATCCGCACTCCCGTAGATCCGTAGCCCGGAGTCCCAGTGTACTCGCATCCTCGTGTAGGGTGTCTGGAATCGGATCCCCCTCTCCTTCAGGGCAGCTTTGATTGGCCCATATGCTTTGCGTTTTTCGACGATATCAGCTGCATAGTCGTTGTCAAAGTAAACTCCCTTGCCATCGATTTCAACCTTCTTCTGCCATGCTTTCTGAAGAACCATCTCTTTGGTACAGAATTGTAAAAAGTTCACTATTATTGATCGCGGTGGTGCGGTTGTTGCCGGTTTCGAAACGAGCGCTCTATGTGCCCGTTGGACTTGGAGCTCAACTTCAGCTGGCAGTTCGAGGTGGGTTTTGAATAGTTCACTTACAAAGTCAGTGACCGATTTGCCTTCTTTTTCTTCCGGTACTCCATAAATTCGAATATTATTTCTTCTAGAGCGACTCTCCAAATCCACTACCTTGTCCTGCATCTCCGAGTTTTGTTTCACGACTGTTATCAGCGTATCTTTCATTTCTAAGCAGGCTAATTCCAGGTCCGCTATTCGTGTTTGAGCCTCTATGATATTGGCGTTTTGGCTCTGCACCTCTCGCAAAACTTCGGTTTTGAATTCAACGAGGTCATCCTTCATAGTTTTCATGACATCATTTTTAAAATCACTCAGGTCCTGTCTCACAACTTGCTTGAAGTCCTTCAGTTCTTTGGATAGAAGCGCCAGGCTTTCGAGCAGAGTGTTTTGGTTAACAGTAACTTTAGCTTCAGAAGCGTTACCTGAGGCTGTTCCTTCACCGCCATCTTCGTCAGGCCCGGTATCCACATCCACATCCGAGTTTACTTGATTTTTGCTCATCTTCTTGTCGATCTTATGACTTCTTTGCATTCTTCCTCCTTTCATACTCGAGTTTAGTTTATTTCACTGCTTTTTCTAGTGCTAGGAGGTATTTTTTTAAACGACTGTGGGGAGCAAACCGTTACACGTCCATCTCGCTCTCTTGCGCCACCGGAAACCAAATTTTATTTTTATTTTACAAGTATAAAAATAAATGAGTGTAATGAGCTATAAGTTCACCGCAACTTATCCAACATCCTAAAGGTAAATTATTATAGTTAGAAGATATATCTGGGGCCGTATTCACAAAGAATTTTATCTTACCACTAGGAGTACTCCTAAATCGCACTAAAATATTTTAGCTAGGAGTTTTCTCTTAAAAGTTATTCACAACGCCTTTCAGACCTACTCTTAGTAAGGAAAAATGACAACTCCTAAACTAAGAGTGAGTCTTCGTTGCTATGGATGACGTCACTTCTCATGCACGAGCCTCCTCGCAATGATCACGGTGATTGGTTGTTAGATGACAGGGCCATCATGCGGAACATAACACAGACGCAACAAATCATGGATTTAGGACATCTAAATATGTCTGTGTCCTACACAAAATAATAATAGTAGGCCTAATGTCATCGAAATGTTTGTGCAGGCCCCAGTGAAGTGTAATTCTAACAAGGCAGAGAGAGAGAGAAGTCGTGAATTAAATTAAATTAAATCAAGGTAGCCTACAATGAAAACCGCCACTTGCCTAATAATGAAAAAACGACACTTGCATTAACACTTGCTGGGTTAATTGACATCCTATTAGCCTAAATAGACTACTTAAAGCAAGGAAATGTTACTCCTATTGAAGTAATGTAATGGTGTGTTCACACCGAACGCGAATAAAGCGTCAAATACGCGTCTATCGCTTGAACATTCGCTCGAGTTCAAATTTTTCAACTTGCGCGGAAGACATTCGCGGCAAACGCGTCGCCCAATTCGCGTCATTTGCAACGCCCGGCGCGAATGATGCGCCTATTCGCGTCTTTGCATTGACTTTGTATGTAATCTACTCGCGCAAATAATTAAATTCGCGTTCGGTGTGAACACACCATAATAGTTGAATGACGGTGGATTATGAACTCGCCAAAACGGAAAAGAAAGCCCAACTGGACGCAGGATCAGTTACTGCTGCTGGCCCAAAAACATAATAAAAGTGAAATTCGGCACTGGGATATCAAGCAAAACTAAGCGTGAGAATGGGAGAGGATTTGTTTGCAGATCAATGCAGCATTCCCGCTTGTGTCGCGGACCCCGGACGACTGCGAGAGGCGGTGGTATGCGCTACAATCCTTTGTGAATAGGTCTTAGTGAGTTAGGAGTCCTCTCGACTTCTTTTAAGCTGTCCCAGACTTAGGTGCTACTTTTAGGGCTAAAATGCTTCGTGAATTACTCTTAGTGAAAAAAATTAGGAGTCCTAAAGTTAGGAGTGACACGCCCATTATTTTTAGGAGTTGCTCCTAAATTTGCCAGTTAGGAGCTACTTTTAGCCTTAAAATTCTTTGTGAATACGGCCCCTGGTGTTATAAAATATTGCATATTATTTTCCAAGCAAACTGTATATTTTAGTCTGAATTATCATCATTTGGGGCACATGCACGCAGCAACTCTCATTCAATGTGAAGTTAAGCAGCAAAATGGAAATATTTGCATGACTTTCTAACATTTACAGATGGAGAATACACCTGTGAAATGTAAGTTTTGCACTGAGGAAAACACCATGTCTCAGGCCACATTTACACATAGTCGGGCATTTAGAAAAACGAATATTTTGAGAACCTAAAACCCCGTTTCTCCCAGACTTGACACGGCAACACATAACCGGTGTTATCAGAAATCTCCACTTTGCCAGAGTTTTTAGAAATAATCGTTTTCTGTGATAAAAACAGAGTTTTCGTATAAATGAGAGGCCAAACCACAGGGAAATATCTGCGTCTTCCCTTCATGTAAACGGGGCTTCAAACACATAAAACAGCACAAAATATGCTATTAGCTGTGATGGATCAATTTAATAAATGATGACCTGTAGAAAATTGCACACGCAATTATCCAGACTAGATAAACCTGGATCAAATTAGTGGGACTTCAATTACCTTTTATGAAACCACTTTAGCCCAACTTTTTTGTTAGGTTCATTCAAGTCAGGTGTTGGAGTTTATTACCTGCTTTTCTTAGCATCTTTTATGAAATCAGCCTCAGGTGATGAAAATCTGTGTTGTTTTAAAAGCCCTGGCTTGAGGCCTGTTTTAGAAAGTAATGGTGATTGTTTAATCTGTAATCAAGATGGCTGTTTCAAACTTTATGTTTTTAGTATTTATGTGTCACCAACTGGTGCTCAATGGTAAAGTTTTTTTTTCTCCCTAGTGTAATGTTTCAAAAGTTAAATGCATATGTAACTTTATTTATTATTTTTTTTAACTTTACATCTTGTTTTCAGGTTTTGCTTCTCCAGTTGGGCGTCATTTATACCAGCCTGGTATTAAGCAATTATGTTTGAAGAGCAAAGGTTTGTAATTCTTATGTGAGTGTTAACATTATGCCTTTTTGTTTGCCCTGTGTACTTAAGTTTGAGGCCTGATGACTTCTGGTATTAAAGTTAATAATGCCTTTTGTTTTGCAGGTGGCCCCTTGTCTTTTCCTTGTGTGATCAAAAAAAATCCAACATGGCCAGTGGTAGCGAATTCTGATATGGCAGTTGTGCTTTCTTTGCAGAATGCATCTGGGCTAACTCTCCAAAAAGGTACTTTTGTGCTGATGTTGATCTTGACCATGAGGGAAGATAACTACAGCTCTTTTTTTTTAGGCATTGAAGGGAAGTTGCCGCAATCCAGCTCTCTCTCCACCACCAAGGTTGATGGGAACTTGACGGAATCCAGCTCTCTTCCCGAAAAGGTTGATGGGAAGTTGACGGCGTCCAGCCCTGTCCCAGCTAAAGAGTCCAGTCATGTATCCACTGAGATTGATGGGAAGTTGACGGAGTCCAGCTCAGTCCCAGCTAAAGAGTCCAGCCCTGTCCCAGCTGAGGTTGATGGGAAGTTGGAGTCCAGCACTGTCCAAGCTAAAGAGTCCAGTCATGTGTCCACTGAGGTTGATGGGAAGTTGACGGTGTCCAGCTCAGTCCCAGCTAAAGAGTCCAGTCATGTGTCCACTGAGGTTGATGGGAAGTTGGAGTCCAGCTCAGTCCCAGCTAAAGAGTCCAGCCCTGTCCCAGCTGAGGTTGATGGGAAGTTGGAGTCCAGCACTGTCCAAGCTAAAGAGTCCAGTCATGTGTCCACTGAGGTTGATGGGAAGTTGACGGAGTCCAGCTCAGTCCCAGCTAAAGAGTCCAGTCATGTGTCCACTGAGGTTGATGGGAAGTTGACGGCGTCCAGCTCAGTCCCAGCTAAAGAGTCCAGTCATGTGTCCACTGAGGTTGATGGGAAGTTGGAGTCCAGCTCAGTCCCAGCTAAAGAGTCCAGTCATGTGTCCACTGAGGTTGATGGGAAGTTGACGGCGTCCAGCTCTGTCCCAGCTAAAGAGTCCAGTCATGTGTCCACTGAGGTTGATGGGAAGTTGACGGAGTCCAGCCCTGTCCCAGCTAAAGAGTCCAGTCATGTGTCCACTGAGGTTGATGGGAAGTTGGAGTCCAGCTCAGTCCCAGCTAAAGAGTCCAGTCATGTGTCCACTGAGGTTGATGGGAAGTTGACGGCGTCCAGCCCTGTCCCAGCTAAAGAGTCCAGTCATGTGTCCACTGAGGTTGATGGGAAGTTGACGGAGTCCAGCTCTGTCCAAGCTAAAGAGTCCAGTCATTTGTCCACTGAGGTTGAGGGGAAGTTGACGGAGTCCAGCCCTGTCCCAGCTAAAGAGTCCAGTTATGTGTCCACTGAGGTTGATGGGAAGTTGGAGTCCAGCTCTGTCCCAGCTGAGGTTGATGGGAAGTTGGAGTCCAGCTCTGTCCCAGCTAAAGAGTCCAGTCATGTGTCCACTGAGGTTGATGGGAAGTTTGAGTCCAGCTCTGTCCCAGCTGAGGTTGATGGGAAGTTGGAGTCCAGCTCTGTCCCAGCTGAGGTTGATGGGAAGTTGGAGTCCAGCTCAGTCCCAGCTAAAGAGTCCAGTCATGTGTCCACTGAGGTTGATGGGAAGTTTGAGTCCAGCTCAGTCCCAGCTAAAGAGTCCAGTCATGTGTCCACTGAGGTTGATGGGAAGTTGGAGTCCAGCTCTGTCCCAGCTGAGGTTGATGGGAAGTTTGAGTCCAGCTCAGTCCCAGCTAAAGAGTCCAGTCATGTGTCCACTGAGGTTGATGGGAAGTTTGAGTCCAGCTCAGTCCCAGCTAAAGAGTCCAGTCATGTGTCCACTGAGGTTGATGGGAAGTTGGAGTCCAGCTCATTCCCAGCTAAAGAGTCCAGTCATGTGTCCACTGAGGTTGATGGGAAGTTGACGGCGTCCAGCCCTGTCCCAGCTAAAGAGTCCAGTCATGTGTCCACTGAGGTTGATGGGAAGTTTGAGTCCAGCCCTGTCCCAGCTAAAGAGTCCAGTCATGTGTCCACTGAGGTTGATGGGAAGTTGGAGTCCAGCTCAGTCCCAGCTAAAGAGTCCAGTCGTGTGTCCACTGAGGTTGATGGGAAGTTGACGGCGTCCAGCTGTGTCCCAGCTAAAGAGTCCAGTCATGTGTCCACTGAGGTTGATGGGAAGTTTGAGTCCAGCCCTGTCCCAGCTGAGGTTGATGGGAAGTTGGAGTCCAGCTCAGTCCCAGCTAAAGAGTCCAGTCATGTGTCCACTGAGGTTGATGGGAAGTTGACGGCGTCCAGCTCTGTCCCAGCTAAAGAGTCCAGTCATGTGTCCACTGAGGTTGATGGCAAGTTGGAGTCCAGCCCTCTCCCAGCTAAAGAGTCCAGTCTTGTGTCCACTGAGGTTGATGGGAAGTTGGAGTCCAGCTCTGTCCCAGCTAAAGAGTCCAGTCATGTGTCCACTGAGGTTGATGGGAAGTTGACGGCGTCCAGCTCTGTCCCAGCTAAAGAGTCCAGTCATGTGTCCACTGAGGTTGATGGCAAGTTGGAGTCCAGCCCTCTCCCAGCTAAAGAGTCCAGTCTTGTGTCCACTGAGGTTGATGGGAAGTTGGAGTCCAGCTCTGTCCCAGCTAAAGAGTCCAGTCATGTGTCCACTGAGGTTGATGGGAAGTTGACGGAGTCCAGCTCTGTCCAAGCTAAAGAGTGTAGTCATGTGTCCACTGAGGTTGATGGCAAGTTGGAGTCCAGCCCTCTCCCAGCTAAAGAGTCCAGTCTTGTGTCCACTGAGGTTGATAGGAAATTGGAGTCCAGCTCTGTCCCAGCTGAGGTTGATGGGAAGTTGGAGTCCAGCTCAGTCCCAGCTAAAGAGTCCAGTCATGTGTCCACTGAGGTTGATGGGAAGTTGGAGTCCAGCTCAGTCCCAGCTAAAGAGTCCAGTCATGTGTCCACCGAGGTTGATGGGAAGTTGGAGTCCAGCTCTGTCCCAGCTGAGGTTGATGGGAAGTTGGAGTCCAGCTCAGTCCCAGCTAAAGAGTCCAGTCATGTGTCCACTGAGGTTGATGGGAAGTTGGAGTCCAGCTCTGTCCCAGCTGAGGTTGATGGGAAGTTGGAGTCCAGCTCTGTCCCAGCTGAGGTTGATGGGAAGTTGGAGTCCAGCTCTGTCCCAGCTAAAGAGTCCAGTCATGTGTCCACTGAGGTTGATGGGAAGTTGACGGAGTCCAGCTCTGTCCAAGCTAAAGAGTGTAGTCATGTGTCCACTGAGGTTGATGGCAAGTTGATGGAGTCCAGCCCTGTCCCAGCTAAAGAGTCCAGTCATGTGTCCACTGAGGTTGATGGGAAGTTGGAGTCCAGCTCTGTCCCAGCTGAGGTTGATGGGAAGTTGGAGTCCAGCTCAGTCCCAGCTAAAGAGTCCAGTCATGTGTCAACTGAGGTTGATGGGAAGTTGACGGAGTCCAGCCCTGTCCCAGCTAAAGAGTCCAGTCATGTGTCCACTGAGGTTGATGGGAAGTTGGAGTCCAGCTCAGTCCCAGCTAAAGAGTCCAGTCATGTGTCAACTGAGGTTGATGGGAAGTTGACGGAGTCCAGCTCAGTCCCAGCTAAAGAGTGCAACCATGTCCCCACTGAGGTTGATGGGAAGATGACAGTGTGCATATGCTCTAAAGTCTCTAACAAATCTAGTAAATATCTAAATATGCCACTTTCTGATCTTGTTTTTAGTCAATAAAACCAGTTATCTTTCTCAAAGTGCTGCTTTTTTATTAATCTGCTTTAGAACATGTTATGCAAATCATCTGTTCAAAACAATTCCAACAAATGTTTATATAAAGATACTGTCCTTTACTGTACTTTATTACGTCTTTCAAACACATTTAACACAATTGTACAATTGGTTAAACTTGATATTTAGATAAAAGATTTAAAAAAAATATTATCTTTAAGGAAATGTCCATTTGTACAATTGTGTTAAATTTCCATTTGTATTTTATTACGTCTTTCAAACCCAATTGTACAAATGGACATTTTACATTACAATTACTCATTTGACAGACGCTTTTATCCAAAGCGATTTACATTGCATTTCAAGGTTCACACATTCACATTCTTAACAATTCTTGCTTTCTCTGGGAATTAAACCCATGACCTTGGTGTTGCAAGGACCAACGCTCTATTGTTTGAGCTACAGGGAAGCTGTTTGGACATGGACATTTGCTTGAAATTGGAAATGGACATTTCCTTTAAAGACATAATATATTTTTTTATCTTTTAATCTTTTATTTAAATAAATAATAAATATCTACAATTAAAAGGGAGGAAGGGTTATATAAAAAGGTAATTAATATGTATTCCTTTATTTTATAGAATGTTTGATTTGAGTTGCCCATATATTTTCAAAATGTATACTTATGCTCTTAAATTCATGTTTCCTCTCCATAATGAACTTTAGAAACTAAATCTAACCAATCATTTAAAACGGTCAATTCTTGCTTTCTCCAAAATTGTGTTATTTCTTTAAAAGCTGTAATTCTCAGTATTCTAAATATGTATAACTCATCTTTATTAAGTAGCATAGTTCCTATACCCAAAACTATATTTTGTATCTTTATTATATTTGGTTTCTTAAAAATATCTTCCCTGAAGTACTTCTGTTCAAATTTTATTTTTATTTTACAAGTATAAAAATAAATGAGTGTAATGAGCTATAAGTTCACCGCAACTTATCCAACATCCTAAAGGTAAATTATTATAGTTAGAAGATATATCTGGGGCCGTATTCACAAAGAATTTTATCTTACCACTAGGAGTACTCCTAAATCGCACTAAAATATTTTAGCTAGGAGTTTTCTCTTAAAAGTTATTCACAACGCCTTTCAGACCTACTCTTAGTAAGGAAAAATGACAACTCCTAAACTAAGAGTGAGTCTTCGTTGCTATGGATGACGTCACTTCTCATGCACGAGCCTCCTCGCAATGATCACGGTGATTGGTTGTTAGATGACAGGGCCATCATGCGGAACATAACACAGACGCAACAAATCATGGATTTAGGACATCTAAATATGTCTGTGTCCTACACAAAATAATAATAGTAGGCCTAATGTCATCGAAATGTTTGTGCAGGCCCCAGTGAAGTGTAATTCTAACAAGGCAGAGAGAGAGAGAAGTCGTGAATTAAATTAAATTAAATCAAGGTAGCCTACAATGAAAACCGCCACTTGCCTAATAATGAAAAAACGACACTTGCATTAACA